GCTAGAGAAATCGTTCATGATAGAAGAATCAATCTATATGGCAAACTTCACTGCTGTCCTATTTTGAGGAATTGCCACAGCCACCCCAACCTTCAGCAACCACCAGCCTGGAGGCAAGACCCTCTACCAGCAAAAAGATTACAACTCACGGAAAGCTCAGGTGATGGTTAGCATTTTTTAGCAATAAGGTATTTTTTTTAAAGATTTTATTTATTCATTTATTTATTTGAGAGCGAGAAAGAGCACATGAGGGGGGGGAGGGTCAGAGGGAGAAGCAGACTCCCTGCTGAGCAGGGAGCCCGATGTGGGACTCGATCCCGGGACTCCAGGATCATGACCCGAGCCGAAGGCAGCCGCCCAACCAACTGAGCCACCCAGGCGCCCCTAGCAATAAGGTATTTTTTAATTTAGGTATGTGCACGGCTTTTTTTTTTTTTTTTAAGACACGTTATTACACATGTGACTATAGCACAGTGTAAACATAACTTTTATATGCACTGGGAAACCTAGTAATTCACCTGATTTGCTTTACTGTGGTATCTGCTTCACCGTAGTGGTCTGGAACGGAACCGTGATACCTTGCGGCACGCCTGCACTCACTCACCTACCGAATTCCTAGTCTCCTGTTGGTCTCAACTTTGAGATTACTTCTCCCCGGTAAGCCACCCCTGTCAGATGCTCCTGAAAAGCCCACTGTTTCTTTCACTTGGGGCACTGATCACTTCCTATTACGTGCACCTGTTCTCTTGTCTGCGTGAATGTGGTGAGGAAAGAAACCGGGCCTCTAAGCTCATCCTTCTCCTACCACTGTCTGGCCTGGTGCCTGGCACAGAGTAAGGCAAGTGCTTCCTGAATAAACAAAGTAATAAATGAATTTCCCTCTGTCAGGATTTCTGAAAGCTCAGTGTCCTAAATGAAATGAAAAAGCCCTACACCAACGTAATACCCCGCACAAAAACTAAGTGAATCCGAGACTACTGTCTGCGGCTACATCAGTAACAAGAGATCAGACAGCTACTGGCACGAATACACGTACACTGGCTTTTTGGGCAGTGACCGCGAGTACAAGTTAAGGTACCCTCTTTATGTGCTTTCTAACGTTACTTCCAAATGCAAAACAAATTCAGGAAATGAAAGTGAGCTCTCTTATGACACAAAACCTTTTGCCACAATTTCATGGATCATAAGGAAAAACCTATTTGTATGAATATCTAAAGGCGTATCCTCAACATGTATGCAACATATTATCTTCTTTGTGGTAACACACCCTGAAAAATGAAGGGAAAATGATTTCTCATTAAAAGCCGCTGAGTTAAAAAAAATCTATCTAACGGGTACAATTCTCCTTTTAACATCACCACCACTAACGTGGTCAGGGCCCTTCCGGGGATACAATCAACCAAGCACTTTCTCTACTATTCGTAAGCATCTTCTCAGTACAAGCAATGAGATGTTTTAAAATATACTCTTGGAAAGGGATCATCTGTAATAACAGAATTATTCTGTATATGCAAAAACAAAGTTTATTATTAAGTTCAATCAAGAAATCATCTAGGTCTCCTGGCAAGCTGGGAGCCTTCACTCCATGCTCTCTGATGCAAGGAGAAATGGGGCCAAACACACGTCCGGGAGCCTCCACTCCATCCGCTCTGATGCAAGAAGGAGAAACGGGACCAAACACACCTCTGGGAGCAGTTTCTCTAAGGGCAGCCCTCCCAGCATTTCCCCCACATGATGCAGGCAGCTTCGGTGCTATTCCCATTCCCTAAAAAATGAACTGGCGAGATGCATTCATGTTCCCCCCAAGACAGCAGCACAGCCAAGACAGGAGGACAGCTTCCCCACCCGTTGTGGTTCCCGAGGAAGCTGTCGCCTGTCTACTTTCCAAACCCCAGAAAATGACACAGAAATCCATTAGTCACCACCTTTACTCAGTGTTTTCCTCTGCATCGATGGATATGAGAAAATGATCCCAGCTTAGAAATAATGTTGAGTTTCTCTGTTTTTCTCTTCTAGAAAATGACCCAACAGGACATACCAGACAACAGGCTCAGGAGACATACATTTTCAGAAATGCCCAAATGTTAACAGCTGTGAAAGGCTGTGGCAGAAGCAGCTAATTTCTTTGAAGGAAGAAGACACAGCACAGGTAGAAGTTGGAAGTAGTGAAATAAGGTTGAGCTTAGAAAGTACTTTGTTCCTAGACAAGTGTACTCTAAGACAATGAGGGACGGCATTCTCGTTTAGCGTTTACACTCTGGTCAGAGACAGACAGACTCTGGCACTGTTCTAGGCACCAGGAACTCACTCCATAACAGTAACAACTGCTTCTTATAAGCCAGGAAATATGCTAAGGACTTGACGTAAATGCACATTTAAGCCTTATCACGTTATTACCCCTGTTTAATCAAGTAATTGACACAAAGAATTTCACTATCTAGCCCAAGGTCACACAGCCACCGAATGTGTGCTTACAGTAAAACAACAGTTAAAACGTTTTAAGTGTACTGAATGCTTTCGCAGCTTTAAAATCACTTTGTAGATGTTAGTTATGATCCTTTCAGCTAGGGAGACCATGACCAGAGATGAATCCCGCAGAGTATTTAAGTGATTTGGAATGGAGTCTCCGGCAAATCAAGAACTGTCCAGTGACCCTGATGCTTAAAGGCACAGCACATGGGACACAAGGTTTAATTTTCTGTTCAACTGCCAGAAGTTTTACATCTGTGAAAAAATTGATGTTTCTAGAGCAGAATAAAAAAACACACTTGGGAAAACTAATTTAATTGTATATGGGGAGGGACTACGGAGAAACAGTGTCATTGGAGTTGATTAATCCTCCAATTACCGCGTATGCTAACTCAGGGAAATTGTGGGGCTAGCTACCCGATTTACGACTTAATCCTTCAAACGTGCATGAAATGTACAATGTAAGTTAGAATAAAGATACCCTATTTTAACCAAAGGATTAAACTCTTGCTTAGAGCTCTACTCTTGACAACAGTCTAACTCATTTCAGTCCCCTCAGTGAGTGGAGCAGAACATTTCCCAGCAACAGGAGGAAAAGCTCCATGTGCCAGAACTCCTGGCACTCTAGGACAGTGTCTTCTGGGAGTTAGCCGCATTATTTATAGTGTTTGGCTAGCAACTGAAAACACAGTCAAAACCCATCTTGCTTTTTGGAGGAAAAATTAATGAAGTGTTTCATGCACGAGGCAAGAGACTGGGTCACAAAATATAGGAAAGAGATCCCTCCATGGGACACATTCTGTTGGTGTTGGGTATCTGTTGCTATGGGAGTAGACTCTCCACCATGACACCACACTTACTAGTCATGGAAGGAAGCTACAAAGTGCTGAAATGTCTCACTTAAGAGTGCTTTCCTGTCTGTCTTTGGCTACTGAGCTCTAAGCACTCCAGGCTCATCAAATCCAGTATTAACTATTTTGTTCTAATGATTTTCATTCCATACCAGCAAAAACTCTAACCCAAAGCCAGATCAAAACAAAACCAAAACCCAAACAAACACAGGGAAAGCTATTCCAGTTGTAAGTCGTCGGGGTCACGTCCACGTCTTTGAGAACATGTCATCAGTAGGCACACCAAACAGGCCAGATGTGAAACCTGACCATGAAAACGAGGACAAGGGTAATAGAATTATCTATCATGTCTTAATTCTACTGTGGAAGTTAAAAAGATGAGGACTGCAGTAAGTCATCTCCCTAATGCAGGGCAGCTGCTTCCGTCCCCAGCTCTTTTAAGATGAGTTGTATTAGGGGACACCGAAGAAGCACCAGAAACACCATAGAGTTTATTTAATTCCCTCTGCCTCAGCCTCCTGAATACACAGTCTTTCAGTAAATAATGGATCACTACCTCCTTGGTGAGCATTAAATCTTTACATCGTGATCTCAAATTGTAATTACTCATAGAAAAATAATCAAGATTTTAAAAATTAAAACAAAGAGGTGGGCTTTCTGAAAGAACAAGCTGCCTTTCCATGGCAAACATTTACATCCAATTCAAATAATGTTTCTGAGCATCTTTTATTTGCAAAGACCCTGTGCTTACGGATGCCAGACATCTACCTAACTTGCCCAGCCAGTGGGTCCAAAACCTGCATATAGCTCATCATTTGCAGATGTAATTCTTTTGGCACATGCTTAACCAACTAAAAATGTATCTGTCTTTCTTTTTCCTTCATGAGCTTGACTTTTTTTTTTTTTTAAGATTTTTTATTTATTTGACAGAGAGAGACATAGCAAGAGAGGGAACACAAGCAGGGGGAGTGGGAGAGGGAGAAGCAGGCTTCCCGTGGAGCAGGGAGCCCGATGCGGGGCTCGATCCCAGGACCCTGGGATCATGACCTGAGCCGAAGGCAGACGCTTAACGACTGAGCCACCCAGGTGCCCCGAACTTGACGTTTTTGAAGAGCTCAGGAAATAAATATTGGATAAAATTTGGATAATTGTACTACAGTAATAGAATAGAGTATCTTTCAGACATAACTGCATTGTGTTTGTAACTTATTCTCCAGTGTTTCAGAAAAACTTTAAAAGAAATGATGACAGAGGAAGAAAGATTGATAAAAAGTTATGACATTTTATATAACATATATAACACGTGGGGGACTCCAGGTTATGGTTATAACAACATTTGGGAACTCTAAGTCCCCAAACATATGGTAATTCTTTGCACTGTTGTTGTAACTATTTTTAAAGTCTGAAATTACTTCAAAATAAAAAGTTTAAAGAAATCCGTGTCAGGTTTAGGCCTAAGACTATAATGCATTTAATGTACAAAAGAGATTTTTTTTTAGGTGACAAAAGGAATAAGTTCCCAAAACTGAGCTGTCACCTTTTCTGTGTAAATGAGCCATTCAAAGGAAGAGGCAGGCAAATTTTGGAAGGTAACGTTACAGGGTCTTAAAATGAGAAAAATGACAGAGAAAGTGTTTAAAATACACTTAATCTAAAAAAAAAAAAAAGTAATATACTTACGGTCCAACCCAGGATGGCTGATTGTCATTAATGAGATGGATTTTGTTAGCGGAGAAGAAATGGCTGATGTACAGTAATTGAATCCCTGTTGTTTAGATCTGTGACATGCCTGTGAAGTAAAGAAACAAAATAAATAACTGAAGAACAGGTTTTAAGCACATGTTCTTATTATTTCTAGATAAGCACAGAACTATACCTTCCGGCCCAACCTAGGAGCAGAAGGCCGAACACGGAAGGGGTTAACAGCACAGGCTCTGCAGACACTGGATTCAAGTCTGCCCCTGCTACCTGACAACAGTCTAACTCATTTAGTCTACCTTCAGAGGAGTTACTTAACTTTCATGAACCTTACTTTTCTTATCTGTAAAATGGGAATAACGAGTAGCCATCCTGTACAGTGGGTTTCATATCCCTCATGATACCTGATAATGTTTTAAACTTTAGTACATGCTTAGTAAACATGTGTTGAATGCATAATCAGACAAAACAACTTCACTGGAAATATCAAACTACATACAGTAGCTCTTGTTCTTCGAGAATCTAAACGCCCTTTCTAGAGATATAGTAGATATCAGTAACATTATTTTCTGATTTTAACAAGTTGGAAACAGAGCTGCAAGTAAAAGGTGTTTTAAGATCAAGAGCAAGGCAGCTGTGCATCTGGGAAGAAGCCTAAATCGCTTTCATTTCCTCTTCTAAGATTAGACTGCTTCTACAGGAACAAGAGGGGGGCTGAAACCTGGTAAATTACCTCCCTCAGAAAATTCACAGCAGCTTTGAGGCCATGTAATGCAACCAACTGCAGAAGCTCCTGTAATAACACCCTTAGAAGGGTAGTCCACCAGTGTTTACTAGCACTCTTCTGGTGGTGAGGGGCTCCCTCTCCTTTGTTCTGAGAGCCATTTTGAACTATCATCTAACTTTGTCATGAATCCCCTCCCTTCACAGTAGGCTAAAATCTGCACATGCTCAAAGGCAAGCAATGAAAATCTGTTAGCACCATGAATTCAACTCAAGTGTGCCAAAGACTTCTGATTATCGAAAACTTGTTCCATGTGTAACCATGGAGTCTGAGGCAAACAGTTGCTATGTTTCAAATACAACTGTGAGGTCTGAAAAATGACCTCAGTGAAAGGCGGAGACCTTCAGCAGGAAGCTGGCTGCAGGCAACCTGTCCAGATCAGAGATACCATCAGCTCAAATACCCACTCTGATGTTGCACACAAGACAAAAGGTGTGGGTGAGCAGACAGTTCCAGGAAGGTTAATAAGCACAAGAAAGCACGAAAATGTCCGCAACTTCATCTAGAAAGTCTAAATCAGAAAAGCCATTTTAGAAAGACTTCAGTGGTAACTGACATCACTTACTAACAGACAGGGTCCTCTGTCCAATTCTAGAAATAGGAGTTTCAGAAAAGGTTTTACATAAACAATATTAAGGAAATTAAGGTGTTCCCATTTCCTCATTAAAACTCCCCTACTTCAAAAATGTGAAAAAAAGCAGTGAGACTAACAGCCAAGAATTCTGAGATTAATGCTGTCCAGCTAATGGCCAGTTATGAGGCCTTAGGCAAGTCGCTTCAAATGGGTGTGAAGTTCTCACACACAAGGGCTTACGCGAAATCCAAAGGGATATATTGACTGTTAAGTCTAGGATTCTGTTCACAAACCCACAATTTTGGTATTTTGTCTGGTCTTACAATAGACTTCCAAAGATTCTACACACATGAAATGCGGTTTATTCTTCAGACTCTCTACTAACCAAAGATGCTATCGGCAGGTCACGAAAAAGAATTGTTTCTATTTTTCACTCCCTTGTTCTGTTACTGTTAGGTTGAATAAATTTAAATCATTTGCCTCAATAACTATATTCTCCATATTCTTTTTTAAAGTTTATTTTTTAAAAGGTTTATTATTTTTTTTTAAATCATCTCTACACCCAATGTGGGGCTCGAACTCATAATCCTGAGATCAAGAGTCACATGCTCCACTGACTGAGCCAGCCAGGCACCCTATTCTCCATCTTCTTGTTATTTTTCTTAACTTCTTCTAAACTATCAGGCCCAGGAGACCCGGGGGGGTGGGGGGAGGGGATAACCGGGCAAAATTCCTTTGGGCCTTCAATTTGACTTTCATACAGCCGAAATTCTCTTGGGCCTTCACGTAAGTAATACATTCATTATTAAGGTAATCCTCCAGTGTCCAATTTCTATTTGGTCATATCACTGCTCTGTAGTGGGGTATAACAAAACATTAAATGTCTACATAAAAACCCTAGTCACCTAACTCAAAGAACGGGCTGTTTAACTTTTTTGTTGGTTTGTTTAATTAGAAATGTTTCATTCTATCTCTACCTAAAACTCCAGTCACCTACTCAAAGGCAGGTGTTTAATTTTGTGTCTGTTTAATTAGAAACGTTTCATTTGCACGTGTATCACAGAATCCTCCTAGAAATCAATCCAAAGTCCCACTGGCCCAAGAGGAGGATAAAAGACCGGGAGCAGGGTGCGATGCTCAGAAAGCTTACAATTCCAGTTCTCAAGGCAAACTCCCCGAGGACCCACCCCCGGTGGTGAGCATCGGAATGAAGGGCCTGCGAGGGTGAACACTGGGAAAGTCACCTGACCGGCTGTGAGGAAAGCCAGGCCCTCCAAGGGGCAGCGCCTGTGGCAGGCATGAAGAGAGCATCAGGCGGGGAGGGAGTGCAGATGCTCTCTGAAAAATTCTGACAGCTGCAGGAAGCAGAGAGAAAGAAATAGCCATTTCCTAGGCAATGTGAGAAGACAAAGAATAAGATTTTCCCCCCCGCCCCCAGAAAGGGTATGTTTTTGAAAAATTAGGGAATTTAAATTTAACAATGTTGTGCAACACACTTCAAGACTCATTTTACTATTGAGATGATAAAAGAAGTCCTCAGATAAGAAGGAAAAATTTAATAACCTGGGTACTTTCCTAATTTAAAAAAGGTTACAAATTACTTATTGTGAACTGAAACCATATGCTTCAAATATTTGACGGAATATTTAAATTAATGCAGATTAATGGTATTCTTGAATTAGTATTAAGTGCTAAAAACTTGCTTTGTGCTAGATTGAGTGCATTATATAATGGGTAAGCAATCACGGCCACTAGCCTTATATTAATGTAAGTTTTGTTTTCTTTGTTCCTAATGTGAGGACACATGTAGGGAAGTAAAGTGAATTTTTCCAAGTTAGCAGTATATACCCTCTTCAGCCTTACCTGCTGATCAAGCATCCTATGTTCTCTCTGGCCTGATTCCAGATCCTCCTCTGAAAGTGACACCAAAGAGTCACCCCTTTCTTCCACACTGAAAGGGTGCCTGAGCTCTTTGGTGTTTATGGAGTCTACACCTAGAGACGAAGATGGCTCGTTTCTGGCACCAACTCCTCCTGCCAAGCCTTCTAGGCTGAAACTGAACAGAGAGCAAAGGAGTTAATTCATTCTATTTCCGAGTCTCAGGAAGGAAAGGAGGATAAGAAATTGCTTCGGGTGTATCTCCCTGTTGCTATATTATTTCTATGTCACCTAGCAAAGCTACTGACAAGGGCACGGCACAAAGGAGTGCCGCCTACCTCTCCCCCCACAGGCGTTGGTATGCTGAGAAAGAATAGTGCACTTAGATTTTCTTACTTCATTCAACTTATTCAAATGGTGACCATCTAAGGTCATTTTCTCAAGATTTTTTTTTTCAATATACCATCTGTATTATCTTACTGATCTTTTTTGTGTGTTTTTCCTTGATCTGATGTAACTGATCTTTGCCAAAGTCTAACTCAGCTAATGCCAAAGAATTAACGGCACAGAGAAAAGAGGTGCATAAGTCACTTTCAGAAGACAAACAGGGAGACCCAGACTTGCCCTTGTGCCCATTTAAGTGGACCGTTACAACTTTACATTCAACTACAGTCTAGCTGACCTTTACTGTTTCACAGGTGTGTGTCCGCCCCCCCCCAGAGACCTGAGCGTTACTTCTGAGCAGTAGCGTCTGTGCACATCTGGCCAGTCCAACAACTGCCCGACAGGTTTCCCGAGAACTGTGAGTCGCAGACAGGTGCACGGGCCACCCTTAAAGAACAAATGCTGAAAAGCTGCTAAGTCTAGGCGTTTTAAGACTGACCAGAAAAGGGGGCAAACTAAGGGCATGGGATCCCTGGAATAACGATTTTGTGGTCTGCAGAGTGAAAAAAAGCATGTTTTTTTTTTTTTTTTGTGAGCAGGAGATTACAGAGAGTGGTCAGCCATCTATCCGCCTCGGGGCTGCTAGCCAGAATAATCCACACCTGTTACAGCTGCAGCGGGAACTTCTTTCCAACAGAACAGAGAGCAGAACAGAGCTGTAGCTGACCATGACCTCCGTTACGAGCAGCTGGAAACGCACTTGAAGGTACACTGAAGCTATGCAGTTACCTCTGCTCAAGCTGTACAACAGTTAATTCTACAAATAATTCACGTATGCCAGTCCGGAGGGCCTGTTATTTGTTTTTTGCATTTCACAAATTACTTACTGTGAACTGAAACCATATGCTTCTGTTTTTCTCTAGTGGGTAATTTAAACAATGGATTTTGTTTTTCTTATTTCAATATGACAATAGAAATCATGATTAAGTATAAGTAAATGTGTCTCTGTGAAACTCATCTGCAATACCAGGGATAAGGACACAGGCTAAGTGAAGAAGAAATTTAGGTTTCTATTGTGAATTGTTTGTAAAGCCTGAGAAAACCAGTCTATCATTACCCACAAAACTTAATCTTGAAAATGTTTTAGTAATTAAATCTGGCTGCTTAGTTGAGAGAATATAAAACATTGAGGAATCTGTGAATTTGGAATCTAAAGAGATTGGGGGATTTGGAAACATAATAGAAATAAGTGCATCTCATTAGCTGCCTTGCTTCTGTCATTGTTTTCCTCAGGATGTGGGAATCCCCAGGTTCTGGGAATCAGGACAGACCAGAAACAGAGAGAGAAGTGGTCTACCATACCAGAGATACAAGTCTGTGCAGAAAACACCAAATCTACAGCCACTTGAGACAGATAGGATGCACCAGGGTACACCAACCGCCTCCTAGTTTGTACCCCTTCAAATGGATTAGTGATGCCCACAGCGGAGGCAACTCAACACTGCGCTCACAAACAAAGCACACTGCCATATGCATTCTAGCCACACAGAAGCAAGCTCCCAGCCAAAAGCCCAGGTGCCATATTTTATGATTCCCCCTTTGGTGGCTGGACATGGAAAAATACCATACCTTCTGTAATTAAAGTCAGCACTCAGGGCAGCAGAGTATTGTACACCAGAGGGACACCAGCTCATACTGGGGATGACATCAAAGGCAGAAACAGAAATGGAGGGAGAAAAGAGGAAACAGGGATGGGGTTATTGGGTTTGAAAAGAAAAGCCATAGTTACAGACAGATGGATTTATTTGATCATCAAAAAATAAGGAACGTAACACTTAGAATTTAGAAAAAGGCTAGAACAAAAACCACAGAAACTTAAAACTGATCTACTAACATCCATCTAGACAATGTGCTGGAAATGTCTATGTCAGTTTGTTACAGGGTAACAACTCTGAACAAAGAGCCCACTCCATCCACGGCTCCCTCCTCAGGTGTTCTCCCGACGTGTCCCCACTACTGGGGACAGTCTCTCCACATGCTCCGCCACGCCACTCTCAGACCTCCGTGGCCACAGTGATAATCCTTAACTACACTAAACTCCCCCTTGACTGAAAGGGACAGTGACAAATTGCACGGGGGTAGGCTCACTGGGTCATCAATTTTCTTCACACGTTTCCAGTAAGGGTCCATCTACTCATGAGTCTTTCCTAATAAGGATATCCTATCAACACTCACACCCATCTTTAAACCCTACTCACTAAGCTTTTGTGATGAAGATTCGCCATGTCACAATGGTCACATTTCCTTGTATTTTAATGATAACAAAGGCAGTATTTTCTTCAAAAGAAAAGGAATTCTGTGGTACTGAGTTAGAAATGTGTCTTAATTTTAGGTTTGCATCCATTTTCCCCACGAGGTTAAAAAAAAAAAAAGCAAAACTCCATTTGATCATCTACTTTATCTCGGCACCGATATTTACTCTCAAGCGGGAGGGACAGAAAATCTAGGGTTGGAAATACCATGTAAATATAACCAGCTAAAAAAATAACCAATTCAAAATATCAGGTACACTGTAAAGGGAACTGCATCAGTAGGTCAGGATTTCTGACTGACAAATCAAAAATCAGTTTAAAAATACACTGCTACTATTTGGGGCCTTAAAATTCTAAGTGATGTGTTTTTGTTTTCAGAAGGGGGAATAACAGTAACACCCCCTCAGCTCTCTCTGGAATCTTGCAAATGGGAAGATGTACAGACACCAAAAACCCCCTGAATACCTTGAATACACTTAATTTCGTTTTAGTAAGTGGGGGGTTTCTGGCAGAGGAAAAGACATAAGGAAGGTGGTGGGAGAATAAATAGAAGAATAAATAAATAGAAGAAGAAGAAGAGCCTTCTAAAAGCAAATCTTTAAAATCATGGCATTTAAAAATAATTTAAATAGTAATAACACTTAAAATCAGGTTAAATTAATAGTACAAAGCTCAAAAGGGCAGAAGCAGAAAGGAAAATTTAGCATCTAAGACACACCTCCAGTCTGATAAACGAAATCAGATGGACTTTGCTCGTGTGAGGGAAGCAAGCAAGCCTTGATATAATTTACAAACACACATGAGACTAAGAAGTCCATTCTCTGAAATTATTAATTTCATTTTGAATCTCCAAACTGTTAATAAAAATTTTAAAAATATCCAACATGGTAAATCAGCAACCGAATATACATTACCAAGTTATCATTCAAAAAAATACTCTCCCTCTACAGATTTAAACATCCCTTTACTCTCAGAAAATGATAATGATGTGAGAGAGCAGGGTGAAATTTAGGATGAAGAGAATGGAGAGCGACAGGGAGACAGAAAGAGGACATAATAGGGGGGTCCTAAGGCTCCAAGAAGGAAGCTGCAGGTGGTCCTTCAGCGGCAGCAGACCTGCCCTTCCTTCTAGCAGAGAACTCCTATCACGAGAGTGTTTTATTTTTTTTAAAGATTTTTGTCAGAGAGAGAGAGAGCGCACACGAGAGTGTTTTTGAGAGCATCCTCAATTTCCTCAATTCCTCAATTTAATGGTTCTTTGGCCTTATTTTGAGATTTAGAAAATTTTAGATTCTTAAAAAAAAAAACAAAAAACAAATATCCCGCTCTCTACCGTTTAACACTTGTGGAAATGTTTCAATTTTACTAACTAAGGCTTCATAGAGAATTTTAAATGATACTTCACGTTCTTCCTGCAGAAAAATGACTAAGGGTGAAATGGTGTGTGGCCCTGTTGTGAAGCTTTATCTATATGCTTCCTGGGACTGCATCCAGCCACCCGTCCCCTTCCACTGTCAACGCGTGGATGCTTTACAGAGAGCCAACTAGATCTCTAAAGGGTTCAGACACTTCTACTGAAAAGGGCATGTAACAACTTGTTCCCCTGGGAGAACAACTCAACTGAGTCTCATCACCGGAGATTCACGAGGGTATTCGTATTTGAACTCAATTTTGTGCCTGAAATCTGGAAAAAGACAAAGTAGGGAGGACCACTACCTGCCAGCTTCCCAAGGAAGAGCTTCAGCTCAGAACTGAAAATACGTCTTTACAAATGTTTCCCAACATGAGAAACTATGTATAATTCCACCATTGTTTTTGGATTTCCGAATTGTCTCCCCCGAATAGTGGAAGGAAAGGTCACTAGTGACGACTTCTGAACAAAGTAAAACTCAGCATCTGAAAAGCAAATCGGCATTTTTTTGACTAGAAATGACTTTTCAGCTTCTAAATTACTAATTGTTAGCTTCAAAATGTTACCTGACAAAATTAAGGAGTTGGAAGACTGGGAGATGAGCGGATGCCTCTTACTTGTTTTCGGAAATGACTACCTCAACATTGGAATGGAGATGGCCAGGGGGCCTAGAATGTGTCGAAAATGTGTTAGGGCCTGTGTGCCAGCACACAATTTTTTCTGGTTCTTTCCCCTTCTTGGGGGGTGGGGTGGGGGAAGAAAATGCACTCCCCAGGGTCCATTAGACAGGCACGGTCGACATGTCTTTGAATTCTAGGGAGAGTTGGGGAGACCCTATTATCAAAGTGATCTGAACATCAGTAAGTACAAGATGGAAAAAACACTAAAAAAGTTTCCTTTAAAGATAAAAAGAGAATAGGAAAAAATTTCAGACTCACAAAACCATTTCATATGCAAATGGACATCAGCAATTAATAAATATCTATATTTTATTTGCCTGAAGCAGACGTGACATTATTGTAAAAGACAGTTTAATCATGGATCAAGCAAAATGAAATGCTTGTTAGTAGAAGCTCAGAGGCAACACAGTTAGTCCATCAAGTTAGTGAACTCTGTACCTTCTCCTATGAATGGGAGGTCTCCTGACAACATCCCCAAGAACTCGCAATGAACTGAAAATGAATGGTGGAAGAGGTCAGTGTTGAGGTGAAACAAAATGGACACAAACGCATGAAGCATACAGACATCACGAAGGGGAGAGACACGAGCCACTCAGAGAAACAGTACAGGAAGGCAGGGGAAGAAAGAATGTGGAGGAAGAAACACATCAAAACCACAAAGGCCTGACAGCCTGACAATTTCTGGGGAGGGTTACTCTGCTCCCTCCTTGCTCCACAGAGTTAATCAGATGACAAGGAATGAGGTTTATTAAATTATAAAAGTAAAAGGATTAAAAAAAAAGGCCACTCAAAGCTTTAGAAGAGTTTTCTTAAGACTTTAAAATTCAGGTTATACTATATGCAGATAACACTGTAAGCATCAAACTAATTCAAGCCCTTCCATCACTCCAGAGGCACTGGGCAGTGGTGAGAGGGGACTGTCAATGCTAGGCTCACACAGGAGATGCCATGATAGTATACAGGTTGCAAATATGAATAATTAAGTGATAGGGTTCTAGTCTTAGTTCATTCTTAAGGGCACCATGTAATCTGGGGCAAATCCTTCAGTCTGAGCTTTAATTTCCTCATCTGAGCTACAGAATCCAGTCACAGCCAGCTCTGAAATCCATAGCGGGTTATAAAGAAAAATGGATTGCCTTTTAAAATAAACCCTTGTTTCTGGATGCTGTTAGCACCTCTGACAGTCCGTCCTGTCAAGAGGCTATTCCTGCTAAAGGAAGAGAACTCCAGCGACAGGGATGATTGCCCACACCCTTAGTTTTTAACTGGCGTGAATGCTTTTTTTTAAAAAAAAAGTACAGCGTGAATAAAGCTGGGAAAGAAAGCTTTTATAAACTGCTTTTTATATAATCCATGCTTTCAAATGTATATAAAAACTACCCAGCAGATAAAGCAACTGCTTATTTTTAAGGGTAACATCCTGAACTCTACCAGAAAATAATATGGAATCACAGAAAGAGCACTTAACTAGGAGACCAGAAACCTAGTCACTACTGACCTGGTTTGGGTTAAGTGATACCAACTGTCTGCACCTGTCTCTTCTTCTCATCTGTGAACATGCAGACAATGCCAACCTGACTCAGGGAGAGGACTGGAAAATCACATGGGATCGTCTGTTATGAAACAAGTCTGAGAAGAGTAGCACACGAGCCAAGTGTAAGATATCGCTGTGAGCTCCGTGAAGGCGGAGACTTTGGCTCATTCACCTGTGTCTCTAGAACCTAGAAATGCCTGGCATGTGGCGGGTGCTCAACATATGTTGGCTGGATAAAAGAATAAACGAGTGAGTGCCATCAGATTCCACATACCTATAGCTCTGAAATCTCAGCCATGTTATGAGGAGGTCAGGGAATTAAAAAGAAAAAAAGCCATAACCGCTCCAGGTGAGTTTGTCACATCACCTGTATTCACACAACGGTCAGCCTGCTCCCTCAGCTGCTTTTCCTCATCTAGAAAGTAGCTGGGGAGTAAGCACAACTTTGTACATACAGCAGGCATCATGGCACTTGGTCGTTAGAGCTAAAACCATCTGCTTAAATCCTGGAAGCAGCCTATGGTCAGAGGCCAACTCCAAACTACCTTTTCATAGCCTGCTTCCGGACGGAAGGTGTGACATGGGGTCACATGTACCCACGTCCCCAAAGACTGGAGGATACGTGGAGAAGTACCAACCATCCAATGATACTGAATGATTCTTAGGCTCTCTTACTGATTAAATAATCATTCAGACTCTGTCCAAACTTTCCGCATTAGAAACGGACCGCAATTTCTGGGAAGCACTCTGAAAACAGATGGTGTTGAGACCAAGATTTCGTGTTTAGTTTTTAATTCAAAGTTGACAGGACTCCATTCCCCCCACAGCTTTCTAGTCTATGAATTTTATTAACAGATGCGGCCTGAATGACTGTTGGCACTTATTAAACCCCCACCATGTAACAGACCTATTTCACTTGCAATATTTATTATCACAAATATTCCGAAAGGCAGGTATTTTACAGATGAGAAAATTAAAGCCCAGAGGGATCAAGTAACTTGCCCAAGCTTATCTACATAGTGAGTTACAGAGCTGGGGTTTGAACACAGGTTTTCCTGATTCCAAAGCCCATCTGCTTTCCTCTGTACCGCGGTGTCTCCTAAATTCTTTTACCACGGTAACACCAAATCACAGAATCAAAAGCAAGCAGACACCGAGAAATGAAACCAACGGCCCCACCGGGTCCACCTCACCTGCGCTGGTTCATTTCGGCATCACTGGCCGCGTTCTTCCCAGGACCCCAGCTGTGCCTCCGGAAAGGGGACAGGGAGCGCATAGAGCTCCTCAGCACGGAGCAGTTCGAGGGCACCTCGGTGATGCTGTCCATCTCCTCCTCCTCCATCTCACCTGAGCCGGCAGCTTCACCCTCGCTCTCTCGGCCCTCAGCTCCCACACCATGGCTGTAGAAGCTGTCAAGACACTGCTGATCTCTGGACCTGTTCAAATTTGAAATCTGGGGGAGGGAAACATCACTGCCGTGAGAAGAATGTCGATCCAAGGAAGCGGTGTCGTCAGTGGAGGAACTGGATCCGGTGATATCACAGACCAGCGGCTCTTCCTCGGGCTGTCATGGAGAGAGAACACACACAGCTGGAAATGGCAAGGCCTCATTAGTCCCGACCCAGGAGTGGCTTCAGAGTGGGTAGGATGGGCAAGACCACAACTGGCATCAAACAGGGTGTTTCCTTTTTTAAAGCATGGTCACAGTTTGATTCAAGTTGTCCCCGATGAAGGTATGGTCTAGGTCTGTGTTCCCTTGACCCTCTTATTAGCGGTACACAGACCCTTCCTTTCTTACAGGGGAAAAACATCTAACCCGGGTTCAGGTCAGCTCCACAGGCCAATACCACCAGCTGAAACGAAGAGAACCCTTATGAATTGGGGTTTCTATATGAAAACTCTGTAAATTCATTTACTATTAGGTTTAATTTTTCCCCCAAGCTTTAACTAAAAACAAGGTTGTCTGCTTGGCTGCCATAATGTTGTTCTGAATTTAATACTCCCAAAGCAAGTCTGTAACTGAAAAAAATGCAGAATAGCTTATGACCCTACCTAAAATCTGCCACAAATGCCCACATTCTGGCCATGAATGCCTACGTGGAAGGAATCTATTCCTTTTTCTCATTTCTCACTGAGGATTGGCAGTGTCATCAAGCTAAATCACACATAACATAATCAGTCCTGGCAATGGAGTCTTGAGTAAGTGATGATGTTCCTTCTCTGGCCAACCTCGGGAGCCTAAGAGAAATAGTACAGTTTTGATCCCAAGTAGCCTGACATTCTCTGTTTGCTACATACACCAGAGCTCATACTTTGACAGGTGAGGGAAAGATGAGCATCCTGACACTCAAAAGATGAATTTATCCAGAAGGTAAGTAGAAGTGTCTAGAAGATGCATGATCACATTCTCAGATTTGGGCACTGCACTATCTTAACATCTTTATTTTACTGTGTTCTTCTAGAAGAGGGAGCAGGGACTAGAGAAAGGCATTCTGTGGTTTATTTTTCCTTCTTCACAGTATTTTCCTAATTAGCCAGTCTACTCAGTTTTAATTAAGAGTGAAGAAATTTATAGTTCTTTGAGAAAGATTTTAAAAATTATGAGAACTAATGAACCTTTTAAGCTTTGGAATAGAAAATAAGACCTATTCTATAAGGAGAGTATTTTCAAATGTTTATATTAACACTTCAAAAGCATTCTCTACAATTTTTGGGCTGAATCTCTGCCAGCTCTTGGAGCCCCCGCCCCGCCCCCGCCGTGGCATCCGGGTTTCCTCGGTTAATTGCTCTTGAAATGATGCATGAGGGATGAGACTAAGAGGGAGATGTGGGGGTCACCAGGACCTGGACTGGCTCTCCAGGCCCGCCCAGTACATGGGCAGTGAGCAGCGGGAGCAAGAAGTGAACTCAGGCTGATTTCAACTAAAACTGCCCTGTTCTGTTCCCCTCATCATCTTTAAAAAAAACCCTGCAGGGGCAGTGCCTGGGTGGCTCCATTGGTTAAGCATCTGCCTTTGGCTCAGGTCATGATCCCGGGGTCCTGGGATCGAGCTGAGCCCTGTGTCATCGAGCCCCGTGTCATCAAGCCCCATGTCATCAGACTCCTTGCGCAGCAGGGAGTCTGCTCTTCCCCTGCTCCTGCTCTCTCTTAAACGAATAAAAAATCTTAAAAAAAAAGCGCCTCTGCAAGGACAAGATCTCAAGGTCCTGTGTTCCTGTCACTGGGCCACACTGTAAAATAAAACGATACTTTAACCAAGTAGATTCTAAAATAGGGTAGGTATTATTTTAAAATAAAATCGTTGACAGTTCTTTTTAAGTTAGTGAGGATTAACCTGCGCATCCTAAAGCATTCTGTCATGGGGCTGCTCTCCAGAGACAGGAACAATGTAGATGATCACAAATATCAACCTTCAGGATGTCTTGGCTTTCTCACTGTGTTCTCCTCAAACGTAGTTAAGATGAGATTATACAACAGTAGGGTGGCCCCTAAATCCAAAGGAGTTGTATCCTTAGGAGAAGAGAAGAGACAGGGGGAGATATGCGGGGAAGTGGAGCTTGGGGTGACGGGTCCACAGCCCTGGGCTGGCCAAGGAGTGCCGGCAAGTAGCAGAGGCTGGGGCAGGAGCAGGGACGAGATTCTTCCTGCGAGCCTCCGGAGGGAAAGCAGCCCCTCTGATCCATTGATTGTAGGACCTCCTGCCTCCAAAACTGTGAAAAATAAATTTTTGTCGTTTCACACCTCCAAATTTGTGGTAATTGGTGACAGCAGCCCTCGGAAACTATATACTCACCCTCAAGCTGCTCAACCTTTAATTCTCAGAACAGTACCAGGGGACAAACAGAAGGGGCATGAAAAAGCAAAATGTGTGACGGGCCCATTGTCAAACACACAATCAAGGCTTCAAAGGAAACAAAAATGAGTTCAAGTTTCCATTTAGCCATTTATCATATATTCTCACAAGCTCGTGCTTCCCGATTAGGAAATGACGCACAGATGACAGAACAGGTCGTTCTTTTCGGTTTGGCACCTAGTGGCCTTGCAAGGACACTGCCTTGAAAGACCACCTGCTATCTCTCTGGTACTTTACTAATCTGAGACTTAAACAAGCATCCACCCTTTTGTAAGACATTAAAACAAGATGGGAAAATTGTTGGTGGCCTGTTTGTACACATTTTAAAAAAACGAGAAATCTGTCTGGCATATATCCGCAACGCAGTGTTGATCCTGGTGTGTCCTAGGACACGTCTTAGTGTGTACTTTTAACTCATAAACTAAACATAACAAAACCCCCTAAAAATTAAATAACCAGGGAGTTTTCACAGTAATTGCATGAGTTCTTTAGTCTTGTGCTCCTGGTAAGAATGAAGTTCACAATGTATTGTTATTGTACCTGTCAACTATTATGAGCTTGTGGTTATTACTTGAAAAAGGGAAAAACAGGACAAACTCAATAATGGAGATCAGTCTTCACTTCTAAATATTGAGGCCAGTGGTTTTTCTTTAAAGCTGGATTGAATCTAAAGAAGGCTCTAAATTACTTTTTCCCAAGACTTATGTGTTCTCCAAATAATTTCCCAGCTTCATCATGTCTTTATGCTACCCTGGCAGAATAGAAAGCAGTCAGGGACATAACCAAAAATTAAACCCGGAATATGGTCCTAGTCTTTCTACAACTAGGTATCTGTCTATGGATAAGCCACTTCCTCAATTAGAAGATGATCTTTAAGTAAAAAGGCTAGGCCTTAATATAAGGCTGTTGCAAGGTACTGTCTATTTTAATCATGAATAGAGGGAACAAGTGGGTTTTTTAAGCATTTGAATTTTTTTTCCAAGTATTCCTTTCCAGTCCCTGAATTTATTAGCGCTTAAGTTCTTAGGGATATCTGCCAAATAAGAGATACGAGAACCATTACTTCCACCATTCTGCCCCCTCCTCACAGAAAGTACCAGGTTTGGAGATGCTGTTTTTCCACTTATACATCAGAAGGGGGAAAAGTTATGGCTTCTGTCACATAATAGAATGTTCCACGCCTAATATTTGAAACTATTTATTCTTAACAGTTTTTGAGTTGTGTGTTGGTCTTTCTTTGGAGAGGTCTTCTCTCTTAAAATGTCTGCTGATTAAATGACTTTCAGAGACTTTGCATATTAGTCCTGATTGGAGAGAAGGTGCCATGGGATTAACTTAACTAGCACATTTTTAAAAACTTGGTTTTGACTCTATGTAAATCAAATGTACTAGTTAAACTGATCCCCTGGCACCGTTCCTCCAGACAATCATGAGTAATAGCCCAAGTTCCTGAAAGTCATTGAATATATTTAAGAAATATATACACGTGTATATTTAAGAAAAAAAATATATGGTTTTTCTTTCCTTAGTCTTAAAAGCAGATGACCAGAACACAATTCCCTGCTACATAACAAGCTTTTTGTTTTTCTTTTCCCTTAAGATGCAGTACTGGGAGTGGGTTAGGGCAGAGAAGGAAAAGAGACACAGAAAGGCAGACACAGATGAGGAGGGGTGGCTGGGAGCTGTGCTTGTTTGCGAGAAAGCGAGCGTACTGGGAGACAGACGACTGAGTCTAGACCTGAGACTGACACACGAGCCCTTCCTCCCTTGAGCTGTCCTGACTGGTTTTCCTCCTGCATATGGGAGGATGGACACATACACATCAACTACCATCTCTACCAACAGCTTCTTTTTCCTTACAGTTTATGCCATCTTGTAAATCTGCAAACAGGCTCGCAAAAATCTCTAGGAGTCAAAGAGAAACCTTGCAAAAAACGGGCCCAGTGAGCAATACAAAGGCTTGTGCACCAGCCCCTGCCGGACAGCTCGGACTCCAGAGGCACTGACCCAAGGATACTGTTTTGCTTAATTTAAGGTCAAATAAACTAGGAAAATTGAAATTACAAAATAATGATATAAATAAAAGTTAATGAGAAAGGCTAAATTAAATGATGCTGCTGTCTATATAAAGCTCGGGAAACTATGATTCTTACTTAGATACACATGCAACGGACTATTCATTCCATAAATGTGAGTAATGATTATTTACTGGATACTCGCCACATGGGGGCTCTGCACTAAGTGATTTAGATGTATTTGTTCTTTCAATATTTGATTTAGTAGGTATTCTTATTCTCATTTTATACACGAGACCACTGAGGTCCAGTGAGGTTACATAGTAAGATTCTAACTTAACTGGTCTGGGAATAAGGGCCAGATTCTTTTTCTTCTTAAAGTTCTCCAGATGACTCTAAGTACAGCTAGGACTCAGTCCTATTATTATATATGACAGACCTGTGATAAAAATGTTTTAAAAAATTAAGATGGACTCCAATCCTACATGTAAAAGCCCAAATTATAGATGTCCTAAAAGAAAACATCTTGACTGGGGGCAGACAAATCAGGAACAGGACACAGGTAGCAACAGTTCATAAAAAATGGATGAATTACACTTCACCAAAATTCTGAACATTCAGTACATCAAGACACGTTTATGAAAGCAAAGAGGGAAGCCATGTACTGCAAGAAAATATTTGCAAAACACAAATCT